TGTTGCGTTGCTGCCCGAATCCCCCCTCCCCCCCTCGGCTCCGCCCCCCACGTCCCTCTGCCCCCCAGGCCCCCTCCCCCCGCCGCACCTTCCGGTGGACGCTGAACAAGATGGTCGGATCCCGGCCGCCTCCCGGCTCCTTTGTGGGGACCGGAGCCTGAGCCCCCTCCCCGCCTGCGGGCTCATCGGGGGGGGAGAGGCCGGACCCCCCCTTCCCGGCTAGAATCCGGCGTGACTCCGGAGCTGCACCCTGTATTACCCCCCGACACCGGATCGAACCGGGGTCCTGGGGATGGAGCGAGGCGGCGGCGGGGGGCCGCCCGGGCCAGGCCGGCGCCCCGGGACCCTCCCCGACCTGGATTTACCCCCCTGGATCTAACCGGGGGGGGGATCCGGATTCCCACTGGGGAGCGAGCCGATCCGGATTGCAATTGGATCGATCTGCTGGAGGAGGCGGCTGTGCTGAAGAGGGCAGATTCGGAGTCACTCCGGATTGATCGGGGGCAGGGGATCCGCTGGAGGAGAGACCTGGCCCCTCGGATGTTGTCGAGGCCCCGATCCGGGTAGCTTGGGGAGCCCTCGGCACCGGGCTCTGGAGGCGGCCGAAGCGGGGGGGGCAGCGCTCCCGGCCCCCCACGCAGCCCCCCGAGCCCTGTCCGGCCGGCATGGGGGGCGGCCCGGCGGAGGGACCCCCCGCTCCCCGCAGGGCCTGAGCGCCGGGGCGGGGGACGCGCCCCCACCGAGCGGGGAAGGATTTGGGGGTCTCGCCTCACGTCGGGGAGCAGCGGAACGGAGGTGAGCTGGGGCTGGCTGGGGGGGGCCCTGCTTCGGCCCCCCCCCCGGCCCTGACCCCCCATATACACCCTCCTGGCCCCCCACCTGTATACACCTCCCAGTCCCCCTCCTGTATACACCCCTCCAGCCCCCCCCATATACACCACTCCGGCCCCCCACATATACACCACTCCGGCCTTGGCCCCCCACCTGTATACATTCCTCCGGCCCCCCTGCTATATACAAGTCTTCGCCCCCCCCCCATATACACCTCCCAGCCCCCCTCCAGTATACACCCCTCTGCCCCCCCATATACATCCCTCTGGCCCCGGCCCCCCACCTGTATACAGCCCTCTGGCCCCCCACCAATATACACCCCCGAGCCCTGGCCCCCCACCTGTATACACCCCCCCGGCCCCCACCTGTATACACCACCATCGCCCCCCCCACCAGTATACACCCCCCTGGCCCCAGCCCCCCACCTGTATACACCCCCTACCCATATACACCCCTCTGGGCCCCCACTCATCCCATCATTCCTCACCCCATATACACCCCCTCCATCTCCCCCTCCCTGGCCCTCCATCCCCCCCCAGCCACACACACCCCTTCCTCTGCCGCCCCCTCCACCCCCCCAGCCGCCCTCTCCACCCACCGCCCCTCCATCCCCCCTTTGTCATCCCTACACCCCAGCCCCCCCCCAACTGACAGGTCCAGAGACCTGACAACATGGCCTAGGAGTGGCTGGGGGTGGGGGGTGTCATTCAGGACCTGGAGAGTGTGTGTGTGTGTGTACATCCATGTATATATGTTTCCACTTTGTGTGTCTATGTATTGTACGGCTGTCTTGTGTGTATATATATATTGTATATATGTGTGTGTGTGTATACAGTGTGTGTGTATTATGTGTGTGCAGTATGTGTGTTTATAGCGTGTGTGTGTGTAGCGGGTGTATACACATACGTTTCCACTTTGTATGTGTGTATGTATGTAACATGTATAGTGTGTGTGTAGATTGTGTGTATGTAACATGTCTAGTGTGTGTATGTGTGTGTAGCATGTATAGTGTGTGTGTAGGTTTGTGTGTAGATTGTGTGTATGCAACATGTCTAGTGTGTGTGTAGCGTGTGTGTACACACGTACATGTTTCCACTTTGAGTGCCTGTGTGTGTCATTCTACTTTGCGGGTGTGTTTCCGGGGTGTGTGCACGTTTCTCTCACCCCTCGGCGTGCGGCCGTGCACTGGGGGGGCCTTGTGCAAATTCCCCCCCCCATTATAAGCCCCCAACCTGCCAGACCCCCCCCCACACTGAGCCTGCGTCTCTGCAACCAGTCACCTACCCCTGCCCCCAGCTGGGACAGGACAGCGGGGGAGGGGGACTTCGGGGGGGGGGGTATTTTGTCCAGGCCCCCACCCAGCAGGCCCTGAGTTGATGCTCATCTACTGTGGGGGGCGGGGGTCAGGGGCGACTCCACTGGCCTCATTCTCTTCTCTCTTCCCCTGGGGCAATCAGGAGTGACTCCAGTTTGACTCCAGTTTAAGAGCGGAATCGGGTCCCGGCTCAGCTCCACGGCCCACCTCTTCCCCAGGTGGCTGGAGGGGGGGGGTGAGTGTGACAGAGCCTGGGTGTGGCTCTGTGTGTGTTTGTGTGTGAGCACACACGTGTGCAAAGGACCCTTTCAAAGCGCCTGGGGTGAGCAAAAGCAGCTGGAAAGCTTCAGCCCCCAACGCGCGGGGGCAGCCGAGTGTGAGCGGGACTGAGTGTGAGCGGGACCCAGGCGCGAGGGTGTGAACATGGCAGGGGCCCAGCGGGGTGGGGGGCGTGTGCCAGGCTCAGTCTGCAGGAGGGGGAGTCGGCACGACTGTGAGCGTGTCTCTGTGAGTGGGACTCGGTGCGTGGGCGTGTGTGTGTCAGCCTCAGCATGAGCGCGAGTGTCCGGGCGGCTGTGAGGACGAGCGTATGTCAGTGCGAGTATGTGCGCATGTTGTGAGTGGACACGGGACTGTGCGATTGTAGTTCAGTGCATGTGTGTGTGAGTGCGGCTGTGACACTGACACCGACTGTGCCTGCGTGTGAGTGTGTCAGTGCGGCTGTGAGGACGACTGTGCGTGTGCGTGTCAGTGTCATGGTGGCTGTGAGGACGGGTATACACGAGCGTGTCCGTGTTGGTGCAGCTATGAGGACAACTGTGCGTGTCAGCGTCAGGGTGGCTGTGAGGACGGGTGTACACAAGCGTGTCAGTGTCGGTGCGGCTGTGAGGACGACTGTGTGTGTGTGTGTCCGTGTAAGTGCAACTGTGAGGATGACTGTGTGTGTGCATGTCAGCGTCAGGGTGGCTGTGAGGACGGGTGTACACGAGTGTGTCCGTGTTGGTGTGGCTGTGAGGACGGGTGTACACAAGCGTGTCCGTGTTGGTGCGGCTGTGAGGATGACTGTGCGTGTCCAGGTTGGTGCAGCTGTGAGGATGACTGTGCGTATCAGCATCAGGGTAGCTGTGAGGACGGGTGTACATGAGTGTGTCTGTGTCTGTGCGGCTGTGAGGACGACTGCGTGTCAGTGTGGCTGTGAGGATGGGTGTACACGAGCATGTCAGTGTCTGTGCGGCTGTGAGGACAACTGTGCGTGTCAGTGTGGCTGTGAGGACGGGTGTACATGAGCATGTCAGTGTCAGGGTGGCTGTGAGGACGACTGTGCGTGTGCATGTCAGGGTGGCTGTGAGGATGGGTGTACATGAGTATGTCCGTGTTGGTGCGGCTGTGAGGAGGAGTGTGCGTGTCAGTGTCAGGGTGGCTGTGAGGAGGGGTGTACACGAGCGTGTCCGTGGCTGTGAGGACGACTGTGCCCTGCCCTCTAGGGGGAACCGGCCCCCATCCAGCCCCAGGGTGGGGGGCTGGCTGGTTCGGGGGTGGGACTGGGAGATGGGACCCCGTGAGCCCCAGACGAGGTGGGTGATGGGATCAAGGGGCCTGCGCTCAGCAGCCCCACCCCCAACCGGGACGGGCCTGGGGGCACCAGGCATCACCGCACTGCCCCATAGCCTGGGCTTGGACCCCGCGCGCCAGGCTGGGGGGGTCCCACGCGGCAGGGCCAGCCCCCGCCCCAACGATCCCTTCTCTCCCCTGCAGAGGCCCCAGGGCCATGGGCCGTCCCCGCTAGCCCCGGCGGCCGGCGATGGCGAACGCCAGCGAAGCGGACGAGCCGGGCCTGCCGGGCCCCCCGGCGGCCTCCACCTACGCCAAGCTGCTGCTGCTGGGGTTGATCATCTGCGTGAGCCTGGCGGGGAACCTGGCCCTGGCGCTGCTGGTGCTGAAGGAGCGGGGGCTGCACCGGGCCCCCTACTACTTCCTGCTGGACCTGTGCCTGGCCGACGCCGTGCGGGCGGCCGTCTGCTTCCCCTTCGTCCTGGTCTCCATCCGCCACGGCTCGGCCTGGACCCACAGCCCGCTCAGCTGCAAGGTGGTGGCCTTCCTGGCCGTCCTCTTCTGCTTCCACGCCGCCTTCCTCCTCTTCTGCATCAGCGTCACCCGGTACATGGCCGTGGCCCACCACCGCTTCTACGCCAAGCGCATGACCCTGTGGACGTGCGTGGCTGTCATCTGCATGGTGTGGACCCTCTCGGTGGCCATGGCCTTCCCACCCGTCTTCGACGTGGGCACCTACAAGTTCATCCGGGAGGAGGACCAGTGCATCTTCGAGCACCGCTACTTCAAGGCCAACGACACGCTGGGCTTCATGCTCATGCTGGCCGTGCTGGTGGGGGCCACCCACGCCGTCTACGGCAAGCTGCTTTGCTTCGAGTACCGCCACCGCAAGATGAAGCCGGTGCAGATGGTGCCGGCCATCAGCCAGAACTGGACGTTCCACGGGCCGGGGGCCACCGGCCAGGCGGCCGCCAACTGGATCGCCGGCTTCGGCCGGGGCCCCATGCCGCCCACGCTGCTGGGCGTCCGGCAGAACGGCCACGCCGCCAACCGCCGCCTGCTGGGCATGGAGGAGTTCAAGGCCGAGAAACGGCTGGGGAAGATGTTCTACGTCATCACCGTCCTCTTCCTCCTCCTCTGGTCGCCCTACATCGTGGCCTGCTACTGGCGGGTCTTCGTCAAGGCCTGCAGCATCCCCCACCGCTACCTGGCCACCGCCGTCTGGATGAGCTTCGCCCAGGCCGCCGTCAACCCCATCGTCTGCTTCCTGCTCAATAAGGAGCTCAAGAAAGGGCTGGCGGCCCACGTGCCCTGCCGCAGGACAGAGCCCCCCCTGCCCCGGGAGCCGTACTGCGTCATGTGAGGGGGGGCGCTGGATACGTCACGCCGGGGGTGTCCCCGAAGGGTCAGGGCCGGGGGAGAGGGTTCGAGGGGCGGGGTGCGGCAGGGCAGGGTGGGAGTCTGGACATCCGGAGTCAATCCAGAGTCAC